TTAAGGAAACATGGTTAAATGAAGATATGCTGCCTAAATATACACACACACACATATATATATATATATATGTAGCTGAATACTTCATTTTATAGATAGATTTATTGATTGTTTATGAATTAATTAATAACAAAATATAGATGCAACATTGGTTATTAATAGAGCCAATGACTGAAAAATAAGTTTTTAAAAGCTGAATATTTGATTCCAATCACATGTAGCTATTTTGGTTGTTTCGCTTACAAGCTAACCCTAATCACAGCTGTATAAATTTAACAAACTAAGAAACTAGTCTTATAAATTATTGTTAATGATTCTGATTCCCTCTGAGTTCTCTAATCTTAGTACTCATGTCAGATAATGTTAACTTGAGCAAATATCAACATTGACATATAAAAGAGGATGCTGAAACTTTCTCAGCCCAATGCATTATCAAATTACTCATTTGATAATGGTTTGGGTTGAAAATGTTTCAGATTTTAATTTTGGAAGGGCTTCTGGGATAAACCAAGAACCTTTTAGAACCTACTCGTATTACCTACAAGGTCTGTTCAGAAAGCAACCTAGCACTTAAGATTAATGGAAAAAATAACCTGTCTAGGGCAATGGCAAATATTTCCTTTTCAAATTACTCCCTCTGTGAACTAACATAATTACTCTAACATCCCCTTGACTTTTCAAAAAATTCTTCCTAGTCCTTTTTTTTGTAGATTACCATAAGCATCTCTTTAACATCTTCCTTCATCTCATCCAAACATTGACTTTGAGAAAAGACAGAAGTTGCTGAAAAACGAATCCATGTCTTAGAGAGACTGACTGATCTGAGAGGTATGATGTTTTACCAAAAACCCGACATGAATTGTCATTGTGCATGTGACAGTCATAGAGACTCACTCAATGGTATCTCATTGATTTTCTGGTCACATATATAGAATAAGTTATCTCTGATTGCCAAATCAGATCAAAGTCATACAACTGTTTTTTAAAATGGTTGGTTGCTTTCCACAAAGAGCATGTATATGTGTGATTATATATATATTTGTGTATTTCGACAGCAAATTCTCTTTTAGGCACATCTGATTGAATAAATTATGAACATGATGTCTGCTTATTTTGATCATAATCCTTTCATATTCACAAATATATTGTATATTACAATTAAATAAGGCAAGACATGCACTGTAACAGTGAGAATCACTTTTATTTCCCAAGTACTTTCCATCTCTTTCTGAGATCATCATCATAGGTGCAACTGGTAAGGCAAAAACTAAGTGTAGCTATCCATTACTGAAGTTTTTTTTTTCTTTTGCATTTAAATGCTATTGTTGACAGTTATGCTTTAGCATTCATTAGAGTGTGAATAGTTATCCATTACGGAATTTTCTCTTTTATGTTTGAATGTCTTGGTCAAGCATGTATTAAAGTATGGAAACTGTTCTTTTTATAAGCATTTTAGAAAATTATTACAGTATTCATAGCTGATTCTGTTCAGTGTCAGCTTCTTTTATTTGACTTAACTTTTTCACCCATAATGATGATCTAGGAAAGAGATGGAAAGTACTTGGGAAATAAGTGATTCTCACTGTTACAGTGCATTTCTTGCCTTATTCATTTGTAATATATGGAAAAATATTCATGAATATGAACGGATTGTGATCAAAATAAGCAGATATTGTGATTGTAATATATATATATATATATGACAAAATATACTTACAAGGTATGCTATATTTATAGGTTAAAGTGCTCAATATCAAAGATAGAGCATGTATAAATACAAAAAGTAAGTACATTAAATAGGAAAAAAAATGACCTTGTTACCGATAATGCCCCACTGACCAGAACATATAAATGCTGAAGCTTCAAATGGTCTGTAGTTTGTGTTCAAGCATGAAACAGACTTTCAACACTCAGTCTTGACCTCAGTGTCCACTTTTATAATTATATATATATATATATATATATATATATATATATATATAATTATTTTTTAAAAATATGATTCCATTGCTCATGTTTTAAAAACAGTATTTAAAGACCAGATCTGTTTTATAACCAAAGAAATATTGGAATATTCAAAAATTCACTTGAGGATGAAAACAGAGCTGATTTTTTAGCTTCTGTTTTTAAAATATGAGAACTCTTACATAACGATGGAATCATATTTTAAAAAAATAATTATAATTTAGGCTCTACTTATGTATTGAGCACTGTTTTTATAAAAACCAAAATACTAAAGAACTTTGGATTATTAACCTAATGGTTCTTTCCTATTTTTCTATATATTTGCACGCACATATATATAAATATATATATATATATATATAAGAGATGAATAAATATATTGAATCAGGTGTATTTGGTTAGCAATTTTTTGTCTATACAAATTTCGTTAAAGGCCAGGAACAGTTGTTTGTTAAGGATTTTTATTGCTTACTTTTTTATATTTCAGAATATTTTCCTGCTTTCCGGTGAAAATTTAATTTTGAATTGTCCAATGTCTGAGTACTTTGCATTTTCATAAGCTATTATGAAGGAGTTTCTCTTGAAAACTTTGTGACTTTCTGTATGTTTTATGCTTTTAGTATTATGTCAGTGTCATCTTTTTTCAAATATTGTGTCTTGGCACATAATCTCTTCACGTGTCAGTCAGAATTGTCACTTTTTTGTTTTTATTAATGAAATATTTGTAAATTTGATAAAATTTGATTGATATTGGGTTGTTTGCTTTTTATGATTGATATGGCTCATAAAAACCAAAAGTACTTGGACATCAAAAATTTACATTCTAATTTTCATCAGAAACCAGAAAAATGGTCCTGTATATATATATATATATATATATATATATATATATATATATATATATATATATATATATATGTGTGTGTGTGTGTGTGTGTGTCTCTGTGTGTGTGTGTATTTGGCAGCAATCATTCTTTTATACAAGTTTCATTAAAAACAAATGACAGGGTAAGTTTTTTATTTATTTTTTTTTGGTGTTCTTATAATTTTCTAATTTTCTTTTCTGGACATAAAGTATGTTTGAGTGCTTTGGTATACTTTTAGCCATTATCAAAGATGATATTATTTTTACTGTTTTAAATATGTATCTAGAGTTATAGGAATGTTTCATTATCCAAACATGGTCAGCATATTGTTGCCATTTTCATAGTTGATGAAAAGAAGAAAATTATAAGAACACAAGAAAAATTATATAAAAAAAGACTTAATCTTGGTACCTTGTTAGTCAGTTTTAATCAAACTTATATATATATAAATCCTTAACAAAGAATATTCATTGGTATTTTTTGAAACTTGTGTGGATATATATAGGAATGAGAATTGGATATCTATCATTAAAATATATTAACAGATTTACAAGTTTTCTATTCTTTTCATACAATCTGATTTTTAAGATTTCTTTATTATATAATAAGAGAAAAGCAAGTGAACTTGGATTAACCAAGATGTATGCATTTTTATTTTTAATCCCTGAGCCATAGCCCATGATATTTGAAAGGTCACAATTCTAAACAAGGCAATAAAATATCAAAATTAACTTTAACATGATGTGTTAGAAAGATATCCTCTTCCCTGTTTTTACTTTCTTTCATTATTGTTATAGAAATCAGTTTGTTAATCAACTGTATTTCTACTTGAAGTGATTTTTCAGATTTAATGGGTTACAAAAAAGTATAATGAAGAGAAGTATGGTTTTGTTTTTGATTCAACCTTTATAGAATTGTCACAAATGCAAAAATAAAAAAAAATAAAAAAAAACAGAAGAAAATCCATCAAGAATACCACTTGGACTTAGAAACATGTATGATGGAATTGTGGAGAATATTTCTGGTCTTTTTTTTCCCCTTCCATGGAATGTACTTTTTTTTCTCCCACTCCACTCCCTCTTTCTTGTTTTGCCTTTTTTGCTTCACTACCATCACGGGATATGATAACCATGTTGAACACACCCAAGAAGAAGACAACGTTAGTATTTCCGGAGTTTCACACCCATCAGATCTGTCAACTAATGGACGTGAACCTCCAGAAAAACTCACCTTGATTAACCAACATCCCAGGACACTCCAGAACAAGCACCTTTACTGGACGATGGATTTGGAAGTTTCACACAACCAAGCAGCTAAGCCAATAACCAAGGTGAAGCTTTGTATGTATAGGAAAAACAATCTGCATTGAAATTGTGGTGCAATGGTTATTTGGTTGCAAAGATGTCTCCTGCTATTGGTTCTCCTTGTTGATGGCCTATTCTATTGCCTCTGTTTTGTGTTCCATGCATGAGTGTGTGAATATACATATATATATATATATATATATATATATATATATATATATATATATATATATATATACAGACATACATCAGTTAAACTGTGTGTACAGTGTACAGATACACTTTGGCAAAAGTTGCATATTGGTTCATGTAAAACCTTTTGTTGATGTTAGTGCTGGCTTATTTGTGCTCGACTCTATCCGTAAACATATGTTTTTACACTATATACATGAAAGTGTTTGCTTTTTATATTTGTTGAATATTCTTGTCTGAAAATCAAAGATGAGGTATTGTTATCATTGACTGATGATATTTTTTTAGACAAGCATAGTGAAATGCTTACTTTTTATGAAGTTCCGCCAGTGATGAAACAAATGATGAAATAAATTGCATACATAAGCAGAACAAAAGTTCAGTATAGAATATATGTTGTTGATTTGTTCCCTACACCTTATCAACCCTTTGCAGGTTATTTAAAGCCAGAAAATATTTTCAAATCATAAGATTTTTTTTTTTGAAGATAACAATATTTTAGTGATACAAGTCTTACTAATAAGCTTATAGTTTTGCAGAAAGGAGATAGATCTATACCTTTCCTAATGATATTTGCAAGTAAATGAATATAACAAAGCTGATGGGAATTGGAACTTGGTTCCCTGATTAACAATTCTGAGCCATTATCCATTACACCACCCACACATCCAAGATTACAGCACCTGGTATTCCCATGTGGTCACCCATCTAGGTACTAACTAGGCTTGATGTTGCTTAGTTTCAGTGATCATATGGGAATCAGTGTTTCAACATGATCTGGCCATAAGCCAGTATAGAATGTACTAAAGAAGGTAAAATCTATGGCCTTCAATAGCTGAGAAATGATATTGTCAAGTGTCAGTGTCTGACACATGTCCTGGGTAAATTAACTGAGATCTTAGATTGATAATTAGATTGTTTTGAAGCAGATGATAATAAAAATATCAAAAAGACAACAAATTAATCCTTTAGATTGCTAGAAGTGGGAGACTTAAGAGTTTATTCTGATATATGTAATAAAGATGAAAGAACATTTTTTTGGAAAGTTTATGTTAAAATGCAACCTATTTTTGTGCTCAAGGAAAATATTTCTAATATCAAACCTCCAACCTTGTCTCAGATATTGTCATTATCTGATGACAATTATTCTCTGTTTGCATATTTGACTGTTCAAAATAAATATTTTGGACAGCATCTGTTTTTGAATGAAGACTGCTAAAAAAATCACCTATTGACAACTTTCATCTCTATGCTGCACAAAGTAGAATCAAGTCAGAAAAATGTGCTGTTATTTGTAGCAAAGAATGAGAAAACCAAATATTTCTTGGATATATATAAAAGAAACTAATTTCATATTTGTTCAAAAGGCAACTGGGCAAACTCCACAACTAAGACAGTCCAGAGAATGTACTGGCAAAACTTTCATATTAAAAACAATATGGATGTGAATACTTCATTCAATGAAAATACCTCATTTGATAATTTTAAGATGGGGTGTGTTTGAAATTCCAAAATGTTACTGAATGCATTTTTCTCGTTTACACTGGCTAAAGCATAATATTCTCAATACTGAAAAAAAATGGATGCTTGTCTGAAAAAAATATTAGATGGTTTCCTGTATCTGTTGTGCTTATTTTTTGGTACAAGCAATTGTCAGCATTTTCCTTGTCCAGGTGTTATTCTATTTTGTTTGAAAATTGTTTACCTGATATTGTTGGAAAAGATTTGTATGATAATTATGATAATATTCAGGATGATGTCATTAATCAAAAACTGTCATAATGACCATGAAAATATTCAGGGAGATAATTGTTTTTTTTTTGTTTAAACCATTTTGTGGTTGATATTTTGCTTTCACTTTGTACATAAAGACATTGCCTGAATTCTTAAAAAATATTTTTTAAAATGTTCATGAAAATGATTGGAATTCACTTCAGATATGTTTATTGTTGCACTAGAAAGCACTTAAAATGTGTATTTTAATTGTAACTATATTTTAAGTAATGTTTGCTTGGGAAGCTATCATGTACAGTCCGGATTGTTAAGTGAGAATGTTGTTTTTGTACAAGAGTTAGAATTTGACTTATCTAGACAAGGAAAGACAGTCCAGCATCATTTTTGTCATACTCATGGGAATAAAGATTAAAAATAGAAAATATATGAAAAAAAAATTTGCCTTCAGCATTGACTTAATAAAAATTATAAGGATTTCAATAAATAACTCGAATTGAAAAGATTATAATTCTCATCATTGGATGTAACTCTCTCTCTCTCTCTCTCTCTCTTTATTTCAAATATGACACTCATCATCTTATTGAATTTCTCAATTTTCCTTACAATCCGCATTTATTGAAGGGAATTTCTATTCCTAACTACTTTTGGCAATAGAGAACTTGAAATCTGTTCATGCAGTTTGCAAAGCTAAAATCCTAACAGTTTATGTAATTAAATAATTTGTTCAAAATGTTATCTTTCAATATAGATTCTTTTATATATAATTCAATTCCAACTTACGATGTTACAAGAGGTGCTTAGAAATGAGTGTTAGTTTTTTTTATATTTAAATTTTAAAAGATAACCTTCATCATTTTAAAATTATATTAAGAAGTTAATTTTTGAGGGTAATGAAAGAAAATGTGGACAAGGCCGAGTTGTTGTAACATTCACTTTCTGACCATGAGAAATCTCACAATAGTCGATTTGCCAGGGAGGTGCCTTCTTGATGTTATAGGACCGAGGAGGTAAATCCAGTGTGTCTGGCCATTGGGAAGCGCCTGAAAAATATATCACAGATTGACCCAAGTGAGTGAGATTTTGTTGACAGAATATTCTGAAGTTGTTTAATGGTTGTATTAACATGAAGTCAGATGTCATGTCTAAGGGCTTGAGCATACTGGTCTTGTTCAAGGTGCTGATTATGCTACATTATGTGCTCTTTCCCAGAAACTGTAACTAAGGTCTGCTCAGGATTGTTGCAGTATAAACCACAGAGGTCTGCATCAGGGACTGGCTAGTCACCCAAGCAGACAGGTGTGTTCAGAAAGGAGTAATCAGCAGTAAATGAGAAAGAACAAAATTTCATGGTTTACTTTCTTTGTCTAAGGTCACTTACAATGAAATCCAGTTTTTGAGCCAAGTTTAAAGACAAATCTTGTTTCAAATTTGTTCTCATATTTTGCAGATTTTTGTCGGTAAAGATTATTTTTGTGAAAAGATACTTTCAACTTGATACAATTTGCCAAATTAAACAATGATTAACATAATAACTCTTTAAACCTTACTAGAGGTCTTTACCCATTGAAGTTATCTGCAAAGTTCTGCTGTCAGTACAGAATAAATATGATTGTTTTCATATATCCATGGTTTTAGTAGTCCAATAAGCCCAAACAATCCATAAGATAGACTCAGTACATGTTCTAGGCTATTAGGACCTCCTTAGTAGGCCTAGCATAGAAATAAATATGATTTGGGAGCCATTAATAAAGAAAGAAAAACAAATAACTGCAGGTTTTCAACAACAATAGCAGTATGTGTAACAAGAGAAGCTACAGTAAGTGCAGTCAAGCATTACAAGCAACAGAAGCAGCACTCAACAGCAGACACATTAGGTTTAAAACTCTAAGTACTCCACAAAGAACTATCCCTAGTAGATTAAAGCATTAGTTCTTGAATTTGGAGACATAGTAATTGTGAGTTCAATCTCTGAGCTGGGCAGTATATACTTGGATTCAATAGAAATGGACAAGCAATAAAAGAGCAATACGAAAATAAGAACTAGATGAGATTTTGCAACAAGCATTGGAGCAAGAACAATTTATCCCAATGGATTAAGTAAAGGTATCAGTTCAAAATTTTTTCAGGTTGCCTGAAGATAGACCTGATCAAAGCCAGAGGACACAACATTCAAAACCTTGTGATGAGAACAACAGTCTGAACATAAATAATGTGAATAATCATGTTTTACTTAATAATGCTACCAAAGTATAAGAGAAGTGACAAGTTGAATATGCCAAAGAATGTAAAGTTCTTGACAACTCATATTTTCTGAGCATCAGTTTAAAGTTCATATTTTATTAATTTCAGATGAAAATTTTCCAACATATTTCAATGAGATTTTCTCTTTGTAAAATTATAGTTTTGATATATAGAAAAAAAGGTGACAATTTAAACTGATACCCAATGGATATGAATTATAAGAAAAGGAAAATAACCTGACCTGGCATCTCAGCTTCAGTCACTTTTCAACCACCATACTATACCTTCATTGTACCTTTTTTATAAATACTTTCATGGTAATTGTTCTAATGAACTCACCTCTATGATACCTAGACTTTATGAATTTAAGCAAAGTACTAGATTGGCAGCTAGGTCTCATTGTTTTACAGTTGAAATGGCTTGATCTAACCATAAGTTCTATGCTAACAGTTTCCTCTATTACACTTCTCATTTGTGGAACTCACTTCCAACTTCTAGCTTTCTAGTCAACTTTGATCTTCAAAAATGTAAATCCAATGTCAATTGATATCTTCTGTTTTCTTAATTCTTGTTCTTTTATTGTTCACTCTCCTTAATAGTTTTTTTTATCATTTTCTCTCACACTTAAGAACCCCTTGTATCTTATTGGCTTTATCGTCTTGCTTGGAGTGAAATGATTAAAAAAAATATCAACAGAAATTACTAACATCTTGGTTCAGTTCAAATCTTTTATATCACTTTAATAAAAGTATATTGCTACAACTGTTCTATTTTGTTATGAAGCTTCTTTCATAAATTAAACTCTATCATAGATATGATAGATTAAAAAAATAGTTAAAAATTAAATAGTATATATAGGGTTTGATACAATTTGTGATTTCAGGTATCCACTTCGGTTTTTCAAATATATCCCTGACTGATAACGGGCAGGGGTATAGTATTCTAATTATGAGGGATCTGTATTTATATTTGTCTAGATGAAATTAAGAGTAGACATTCAAAATGCCGAAGTGTTTGACTAATTCTAGGAGTGATGTCTCTATTTTTTTTTTTTTTTTTTTAATGATTTTAGATCAGTTTATGAATTCAAATGTCAGTAGTGGTGTTAATTAGGAACACTAATTAATTTTGATCTATTTATTTGACAAAACATTGAACTTATAGAATAAAAAATTGTCAGCAGTTGCAAAAAAAAAATCAAATGAATAAAATATTTGTGAAGAGCTCTTTCCCACATGGGTCGAGTGTGACAAGTCTCTTGCTGTTCTACCGCTATTTCCACGGTTAGTGCTTGGATGAACTACATTCCCTGGTCCTGCCAAGTCAAACCTTAATGATAAGAACACACCATGACAGTTACACAGGAGCAAGCCACCCACATTTCTTCCATATTCCATTAGTAGGAAACAATTTCTTCTCAAGTATCTTCTTTAAACTGCTGCCCTGTGGAACCAACTCACAACAGGATTTTTCCCCAATCATTACAATCTTAACCTCTTCAAGATTATCTCTGCCACTCCTATACACACAAGTGGCCTTCTAACGTAACCCTCTACCTTGAGTGGCCACCAGTCCTTGTAAAGAGTAAACCATACTTTAAAAAAAAAACAACTTCCACTAAAACAGAGTAAAATTTCCCTTGCAAGCCTTATTTGGAAAAATTTGGTTAGAAACAAAGAAACGATTATTGAACTGTTACACGATATCTGTCTTCCTGTATGACAGTGAATGCTGGACAATGTGCTCAAAGATGAAGAAGAGACTTGAAGCAACAGAAATGATGTTATACAGAAGGATGCTGGGGGTACCAT